GGAAAGGGGGAAAAACTTGTATTTGAAAACTTTTTCAATAAAAAAAAAAAAAGGTGACATAGCTGCTTCACAGTTTAAATTAATCCAAGTGGTGCCACATCTTGCTTTTCATTTAATACCGTAAAGACCTTAGATTTCTGGTTTTTGTAAAGTTCATTTGTATATAAGGTAAAAAAATTAAATATAAAAAGTACAGTCCTTTCAATGGAACTCAGATGATTATGACTACATGTGGTCCTATAAGACTACCACTATCTAGTTTGTTTTTAATATTTCCAACAAAACCTAGGTCAGAATATTTGCATGCTAGCTGAAATTCTCTTTTCCAGCAGTCAAAGTTAGGTGTTTCAAGATGCTTTATGTATCTTTGAATTGTAAGAGGCCAAATATAGGGGAACAAGATGAAGGAATCGTCAGCTATTCAGACAAGTAGAATAGCTGATGATTCCAGGGGATGAAACCAATTCAGTGTCACGTATCCATTCTCTACTATCCCTAAAAAGCAGATCCACAGAATGGGAATCCTTTTAGATCTACATTAATCATGGAAAACCACATAGCAACCTTAGTAAAATGGGGAGGGGGGCATATAAAATTCATAGACTTGACAATAAACATATCCACTGAATTATATATTATATGAATTATATATATATGTGTTTTTTACAGAATAAAATTTGAAGATAATCTGGAAACTGCAGCTGATGCAGAATGCAGCAGTATAAATGGTGAGTGGCACTTCTCATAGATGCTTCATCATCCCTCTAATTAAAAAACTCCACTAGTTTCCTATTGCTTTCTACAAACTTTTATATGATGTACATACCTAATGAGAACCTTTCTGGTGTAGTGGTTAAGGTATCAGGCTAGAAATTGGGAGACCATGAGTTTCAGTTCTGTCTTACGCACAAAGGATGACCAATGGCAAATCACTTCTGAAATCTTGCCAAAAAACTCAAGGCAGTTGCCAGGAATCAAGATTGACTTGAAGACACAAAACTGACCCCCCCCCACAAACCCTGCACCTAATATTTTCAGAACTTCTCTAATAAATCTGGATCAGAATGTCAGATAACTAAGTCTGAATGGGAGAAGGGGAACTAACTGATATTTTGTATGCCTTGACATCAATGTACAAATGAATTGCATTTGTGTCATGCAATCATAACACTTTATGACTTCTACCAGATATTTATGCTGTCAGATTTTTAAAGGGGCACATTTTGCAGCCCCATCATGGATCCAGCAAAAAATAACAGTAAATTTTATTTTTATCTGGAGGGGTCTTTATTGTGAAACATCTCATGGCATTTCATTCTTATTACTATTAAGAATGACAGGGTTACCCAAACCACTTAGAGTTTTCAGAGGTTTTAATGTTGCATGTATGCATTTGTAAAATAAATGCTCAGTGCTTGTCTTTTGAATTGCACTATTTATCTTCTCTATTTCATGTATTTGCTTGAAAAAATTACCATTTTCCACATGTTTCTTTAAAATGGGAAGGTTTTCTTCAGTTTGCCAAGAATAGGATAAAGAAAGTAGATGCCTGATTTTATTTTGGGAGAGGTGAGGAACAGATCTTCTATTCAGAATTGTTTTCTTTTGAAAACTCAGTACATTAAAAGTTGCATGGAATCTGCTCGCTATGTAAACAATTAAAAAAAAGCAAGCAGGAACACTAGTTAACCAGTAGACCAAAACTTTCACACAACTTTTAAAAAGAGTTGTGATGAATGGGGGTGAATGAAACTTTATTTTCTATTGCTTTATAAAACCAGTGCTGGACAACAGGATTTAAAACAACAACACTTCATTGCATTTCTTTTTCTTTCTTGTGCTATTAGGATTATTTTACTCTATTTTTGTTCATTTACTCTTATTTATTTATTTATTTATATTTATTTATTGCGATTTATATGCCGCCTTTCTCCCTAGGGACTCAAGGCGGCTTACAAAATGACAACTTCAATACAAATCACAATACAATACCAAATTAAAATCAGTAACCCAATTAAAAAAAAGAGCATCTTACAATATGCTCAGATAACTCATATAACTGAAATAATAAGTTATTTTTAAAAATTTGCTAGGATACATAAGTAGGAATGAGTATTTTAAAAGTTGTTGGTTTGAGACTAGAAGTATATTTATTTGAGAAAATTTATTTTGAAAAAACAAAGTTTTAGATAATTATCATTTTGCAGTATGTACATATTCTTCTAATAAGCATGGGTGGGTAAGTAGGGATTGAGATTTGTAAACACTAAATGCATATGCTAATGAACAGTTTGTAGTTCTGCTTGTTTCCTATTCTTCTATCATTTACAGGCAGATTTATAATTGACCATGGGTGGAAGGGGGGCAGTTATGTTCCTTTTACAATTCTTTGTCCACTCATGAATTTAATTTAGTCATTGGGCAAGTAAACAATTCACTTATGTACCATGTTTTAACAATGTCCACTTTGATATGAGTAATGTATTTATTTAATTAATTTATATCAAGCTGCAAACCAAAGACTTTTAGTGGTTTATGTGAAATATTATATATAAAAATAAACTATGCACTTTAGAATTAAATTTACTAATAAAACAACAATCATAGGACATTTTTCTACCTTTCCTCACATATTTGCTATTAAATTCTTTCAACAGCTGTTTTTTCAGGTTGCTTCTGAACAATGCTATAATGAGGCCAAAAGGCAGCATATATAGTACTTTGTGTATGTATTTAATATTTAATCTGTGCCAAAGCACTTTTTAATTCAAGAACTATTGTGTGAATGTTTCAAAAATGTTTTTTAAAAGTTTAAGTAAAATGTGTTTTCACACAATTTTAAAATCTACTTGCTGGAAAAAATGGTGCTACTAAGAAAAGGCAATAGAGAAAGTATGTAGAAATAACTTCAGAATGTTAGACTCATGCCTTCATATGACAATTCAAGTAAAATCTCACTTCTTTAAAAAGACAGAAGCACAGTCAGTAAAAAGTAGAAACTCACTCTATGGCTCTTTCTTAGCAAACACCTAGCTAGAAAGATTCAGAAGTAAACTAGGATACCCAGAGACTTTTTGATGATACAAAGGAGTGAAACCCCCTGAAACTTACACGCGGGCTGAATTTGTACACAGTCTAAAGCTAAAATGCAAATTAATCGTTAGTGATTCAGTCATAATAGTAATAATCTAATAATGGTAATTTAATAGTTAATGATGCATGCATAAACTCAGCAATCATTTCCTTAGTGCAAAGCAGACTATCATACTGTCACAGTATGTTTTACTTGTTTGGCCATTGGAATTATATTTTATTAACCTGCATTTAGTAGGTTGTTTAAACCCAGCCATGTAGAAGACATCCAAAATATTATTAAATACCTGAAATGATCAGGGTCTAATACTTTATTTTAGCATATAAAATTAACCAGTTAAAGTGTACACTCCCTATTTCAATATTTTAGGAATCCTCGAAGATCCTTTGAAGTGGGCCATTGCCTTCAATGAAGAAAAAGACAAGACAAAACAACACAAGCATTGACAGAGCATACAGTGAAAAAGATTCTCAAATGAGCATTTCTATCCCTGAATTTCTCAGTGACTTTAAAAGACACTTGGTTCTCCTTAGAATTGGACCACAGATTGCTGTTGATTTAACTATGGTATTGCTTCTTATCTCTCTCTCTCTAAGATAGGTACTAATTTTTTTTACCATGCGTTTAACAAAGTACCCCAACCTTTTTGGCTAGTGGACACATTTGCAATTTGACATAAAGTTGTAGACACCAAGCTGCCTGCCATTATGGAGGCACAAATTAACATTAACAAAAAGTGAGTGAGATTTTTTAAAAAACCAATCAGTTCGTGCATGAATGTTGGCGAGATCTGAGGACAATCTCCATGGGGCACGTTGGTCTGGGCACGTCCAGAGGAGCCCTGCTACGACCCCCCAGAGCCAGAGTGTCCAGCAGGGAGTGATTTTTCCTGCTTAGAAATACTGGGATGCACACAAGACTCTGCATCTTTGGCGAGCAGATGCCTGGTTGGTTCTGTGCCAGGCAAATAGAGCTCGCTTCCTTCGGCGAGACGCGCACCCAGGAGCCATCCTGAAGCGAAATGCACGTGATTGGTTCTTTTGTTCCGATCCGTGCAAGAAACGACTCTTGTCCGAGAGCATGGAGAAAGCAACTCCTCCCTTCGCCTAAGAATATCTACTCGTGTTTACACCAAATCTCTGGAAAGACTTCTAGCTGCTTCAGCACCTCAAACCTTCCCTTTACCTTACACAGGTTTCCCCTCCTGCAAAGCCAGGCGAGGGCAGAAAAAAGCCAACCCGAGAGCCATAGGATAGCATTTGGTTGGGGCGGGAGTGGGGGACAGCAGGAGAATGGCGATGCGGTAAAAAGTGTGCACCCCCCCCTCCCAAAAGAGAGGAAGGCTTCCACGGACAGAAGATCACAATAAAATACTTTGAGGCAAACGACTTCAGTCTGGAGGGTGGAATTCAAAGGCTTAGTTGAGAAGGGGGGGAAAAAATCAGGATCTGTCCAATTCCTGGTTTATTCAACAGCAGCATTCGTATTTCCTTCCTTCTTTCATTCCTTTCATTCCTCTCTCTCTTTCTCTCTTCTCTGCCCGAGCAGGGAAAAAAAAAAAAATTGCCGTCGGGAAGATTTATTAAAAACCGTAAGCCTATTCAAATCGGCCTGTTTTCTTTTATTTTAGCGACGGTCGGTATGGAAGGAAAAAAAGAGAATATGGAAGCACCCCCCCCCCTCTCCCAGCAGCCAGAGCCTGCTATGCAGCCAAATGGGGGAAAATAGAAGGGTTAATTGTTGTTTTAATCATATGTTTATATAAATATGGGGTTTGCAGCGCGTATAATATAATACGTCTACCTCTCCCCCCCCCTTCTCTCGCTGTATATTAAATATGCTTTGCTTGTCAATTTCATCGCCCTGTGCATTTCTGCAGGGAAACAGCCCCGCCCCCTCTGCGCGCAGGCGCGGCCAGCCTTAGGTTCCCGCAGGCTCAGCATTCAGTGACCACAGGCTGATTATTGTAGGTAAGGAATCAGATAAGAAAGTAATTTATAAACCTCTTTAAATCATCAGAACGCAGCCGAGAAAGGGTTCTGCTCCCCTGCTCTGCAGACCTTTGCTCTCCTTTGCATGCCGTGCATTCATTTAAAATTGTGCCTGCCTGCTTTCGCAAGTAGATGTGCCAGCGTTTGGGGTGTTTTTTTCTTTTTTTCCTTTTTTTCCGCCGTGAGGACCACACATCCACACATTCTTTTCCGTTGTATGTTTTGACAGTGAACGTTGCAATAAAAAAAAAAAAAAAAAAGCAAGTCGGGGGAGAGGCTTAGGTAAGGGAAAGAAGAAGAGAGAAGGCGGGGGATAGAATCCAAACAGTTGGTCCCTGGAATTTCGCACGGGCAGTGCGAAATCCCAAGCTCTTTTTTAAATATCTGTTATTTTTCTTGAAGTTTCCATGTTGTTTGGAGGTGGGGGAGAGGAATTTGAAGCCCCCTTTCCATAAACAGACGACATGCAAGAGTTGGAACGAAGCGATGCAGGAAAAAAAAAAGAGAGAGATGGTGAGATAGTAGCAAGAGATGTATACAATCATCGTGCAACGGAGGAGGGAAGGAAAGGAGATCTTTTTCACAAACTTTCTCCTTCGGCTAATTGTCATTCTTTCTTCTCTTCAAATAAAGGGAATATCTGGTAGAGCAACAGAATAAAAACAGGATTCCGCCATTTTGATGTTTTTTAAAAAGTAAGGATTTTGTGGCTTGAGGGATTTATAGTAGTCTCCTTATTACGGGCGGCCAGAACTCACGCTTTATCCGTGTGTGTGCGTGTGCAGCGAAGGAAAAAAAAAAGCAGTTTCTTTCCCACCTGGTAATTCAGGATTTTGATTCTGGTGCCTTATAAGGATGCTCAGAATAACTCTATGGAGTCCAGTACTTTATTATGGTTTAATTCAAACAGTTGTAATAGGATTTCACTTGGGATAATAAGGGATGGGCTTGATTAAAAGTGTCTGTCCAAGTTTTGTTTGCCTATGTGTTTGCTTTTGGAAATGTATGTGCCTGTACTGTATTCTTTCCAGCAGATGGATCCATTATATTGTGCAATTTTAACCCACTTGACACCATCCTCCATCCCTTTGCTGCTTTTATAATATATCCCCTAATATATCCCTTTATATCCCTTCCTTCCTAAGGAAGGAAATGAGCCAGGATTTATCTTAAAATGGTAAAATATGTTGTACCAAAAACATATTGATGCTGGTGGTTTGAACGGTAAAATAGCATGCTTGTACACAAACATCCCTTTGTATGAAATAAAAAGGGTTTGTTGCTTATAGCATTGGCACTTTTGAACTTCTATTAAGAAATCCCTCTCAGATTTTGGTATTACTATTGATAACACAATACTAATTGTAAGCTTTAAGTTTAGAACATAATATATATAATTGTTAGAAATCTTTTGGAAACTGAAAAGCCAATTAAAGATATTTATTATTTTTATACTTAGAAAAATAATTACAGAACAGTTCCAAATTAAATTGATGATGTTAGAGTTCTGAAATTGATAAGAATGTAATGAGGACATTAGTGTCCAGTTTACACAAAACAAAAGAAGTGCCAGAGTTTAAGTTTTAAAAAATCCCTAATCTATAGAAATAATCTACTTTTCCCCAACTGTAATATTTTCATTTGTGTCACTTCTGTCTGTATGCTAAGAAATGAAAATGCTCATTGTTTAATAATTGGGAATTATGTATTAAATTATATAACACAAATATATAAATCACAAATCTAAGTATAGTGCTCAGTTGGATCATTTTAGTGCAGTGACATTTAAAGACACTTTATGTGCATAACCATCAGTCAAGGGAAATAGTGTAAATATGACATAGATTATTAGATTAATAATGTATCTACAAAGTCCACTTCTAGAAGTGTTTTCAGAGGTCTGGAGTGAATTCAAAAAAATTAAGATGGTGGCCATTATTGCACAGTTTTGGACACCACTTGATTATTTAATCTTCCCCTAGGGATGTCCCTGCAAGAGAGTTTTAATGGACATGACTGTTGCAACTATTTTTAAGAAGTGTCTTAGTTGGTTTTCTTTTCCCCACAGATTTTTTTAAAAAATAATTGGATTTTTATATGGATAATGATGGTTATACTTATAGTGAAAAAGGCACAGCTATGTATTATTTCATACCCAACTTTTTCAGTATTTTGGCAAAGAAATTTATGTATGCCTTTTAAAGTGATTATAGCTGAAGATAAAGCTAATATTCTTATTTTTTTTATTCCTTTCAGTATTTTGATAATTTGAATTTATTACCTGTCATATATTGTACCATACAATATAAACATAAATCTATTTTGCAAGGCATTACGGATCAAATATAGAGCAGAAATTAGTAAACTAAGACTCAATCCACATTTTGCACCTGGCCATTGTAAATATAATGTAGAATAGTAGTTTTCTAACTTTTCAGACTTTCTGTAAAATTCTCATGTGTAGCATGCAATGTTCCACTTTTTTATTAGAATGTTGGGGCAGGGTTCATGTGAATGTGCTGTGTTTTATCATGCAGTCATCTTTCTGCATCCTTTCTGGCTTTCCACACTTTAGTTAAATCACTAAGGAAGCCATGAACAATCTGCTGTTAGGTTCTTTTCCCAAAGCTTAGGCAGTCATAGAGTCTTCAGAATGACCAAAAGATGTGCCATATTTACCCACATCTTAAACTGAAAACAACAAGAGAATTGAAAAGGAATTATCAAGCTTCTTGGGAATATGGTAGAAAAATAGAAGTTTCTTTTGCAAAAGAAAAATCTGAAAATTTGCAAGACAGATACTGTTATAGCCTTAGGCTGCATGAGACTTGATCAGGTTGTGTTGTTAAAATTGAACTGGCTTGATTTTGTGAACTATGGGAATGAAAAATCAAATGGACACTCAATGCTGATTATTTTACATATTTAGAAGTGTGACATAATAAAGAACCTTTGAGCATGTACAGAGGAATATAGCTTTCTCTAATTATTGAGGATCTAGTATAACCAAGTCTCACACCTCTGGATTTGGAAATTAAAAGCTTCAAGATCAGAGGATGTGACTTCCAAACAGATGGGAACCCAGATGGATGAGAATTAGGTGGGGGAAGCATCCGGATTCAATGTTCATTCTACTAGAATGTAATTCAAGAAAGGATATGAAAAAAGAGAAGCAAGTCTGTATTTTTAGAAATATGAGAAAGCATGTGTTATCTTTTTAAAAGATACTTTTAGGTATTCTGGTTATATAAAATGTCTTACAATTCTTCAGGTGCCATTGTTCCATTTCAATTAACGTGTATGCTCCTTTTTCATCAACAATATTACATGTGGACTTTATATGGGGACTTTTGTTATTTTGAATTTCAGTTGCTTTGAATACATAATAATTGGATTACACATGATTTGTTTCACCATTTATGTACTAAGTTGCAGAATTTGAGTTTGACTGTGTGATCTCTGAAACATTTGAAAACTCCCATGACCAGAGTCTGCCTTTCTCAAATCTAAAGAGACAGCACCTTTCCCCACTTATGAGTGGAACTGTTCTCTGCCCATCCTTGGGTTGGCATAAAGCCATAGAAGCATGAAATTTGCCATTTCTAATCGCAATCCCTTCTCCACTCTTTTGTCTCTATTTCAAATCTTGGCGTCACCTGATTTAACTCCAAAATAATGTGTTCTATACTTAAAATTTTGTATACCGTGAAGGTGCCCTTGGAAAGTGTCAGAAAAGTGAAAAAGATAGTACTTCAAATTGTACACCGAAGGGCAATTTAAGCCTGCTTTATTCATGGACTGGGGACAAGATGAAAACAACATTAGGATTAACATTCACATTAACAACTTGGCAGAAAAAAATGTTACTAGAATACAGTGGTATCGTCAGTAAGTGAAAATGGATAAAGCACCACAATCTTACCTTGAAGCAGGGACAAGGAGCATGAAGATCTGCCATGTCTGAAAATGATGTACAGAATATATTTCTTTACAGGGGTAGTGTGGACACTCAAGAAAGTTCACAAGACTTTTAGAGTGAACTGTGTAGAAGGAAAATGTTTGATTCACACAATCATTGTGAGGTGTACCAAAGAAGGAGCCCCAAAGCTTGTAAAGCACCCAGACTTGTCACTCAGAAGTCAAAGGTAAACTGACATAACTAATTAGGTATCTGTAATAATAATATAAATCACTCAGGATGTAATAAAGCGGTTTAGCAGCAAATAGAAAAAAGGATAATTCATAATACTTGTTTTAATTTTAGAGTAGTATTAAAACAGCAAAAGATCAGTAATTTGTAATGAACATGAGAGAGAGGAACTGTAAAGGTCACAGTGCCAATGTTATTGCTTGAAAGTGAATCTTGGTGTAATCAGTTGCACAGGTCTTTAAATAAATACGTTTAAGATGTAGAATGTAAATTTCAAAACATTCAACTGATATGAAAACTGGGGGGTAATCTTTAATTTCAAGGAATGTTTTTAAAAGAATGCTTCAGTTGTGATTTCTTGGAATCCCACATAGAGTGTTAAAGCTCTTTTAACACATGGTATGGAATAAGAGGCACGATTAGAAAGAAGAACAGCACTTCAGCAGCAGTCCCAGCTGTCTAAATATGGCATAGAGGCAGTCCTCAACTTATGACTAGTTGCTTAGCAACCATTCAGAGTTACAACAGACCCCCAAATAGGTACTTATGATCCAGATTCGAAGTTCTGTTGGCTGCCCCCGTCACATGGTGACATGGTTGTATTTTGGGTGCTCGTCAACCAGCCCACATTTACTGCTGTTTGTAGTATTCCGCAGTCAGGAAATAAAGCAATCATGCTTTATGATTTTATTTATTACTTTTTTTTGCTGGAAACCAGCATTTACTTCTGGTTTCCAGCAAAAAGTGTCCATTGGATAAAATGGATTCTCGTAATGACCATGGGGATACGCTTTACGACCACCGCAAAGAAATGTCATAAAATCAGTCAGTGACATTGTTAAGCAGATCATAATACGGCCTCCTTTACAACCAGCATGACTGATGATCATAATTCTGGGCTCAAGTACAGTCCTAAATCGAGGACTACCTGTGGAGTACTTCCACTATTACAGGTAGAGCAGTAATTAACATTCTTCACCATCCAAAACACATTACATAGTCCCCGGGATTAGGCACTTTGCTTGCATAAAACTCATGTAAGGCAATTTATTTGGGGCAACAAATTATTGGAGCACCTTTTTTAATTTTTATAATAAAATCCTACAGCAGTAATCAATAATGTGTTGCCTTTTATGACAGCCAATATGCAATACTGCCCCAATTTAAGAAGGACAAAGGTATGGACATTTTCACTGAAAATCAAACTCAAGGGATCTGGGGTGGATGCAAGATAACAGATTACCTGGACTTTATTATTTATTTTACAAGATGTCTAGACTAGCCCAATGAGAGGATAAAAATAAAACAAGAATAAAAACGAAACAAAACAACATTACATTTCATATCTCTGGTTTTGAAATATCACTGCATTTCTGCAAACATGGCTTTTTAGGGGATGAGGAGGATATTTAATCTTTATTTGTGTATGTGTTGACTTGTAATCTTTGTTGTTTTCTTGATAGGGCAGGATTACTGGATAGTTCTTTTGCCTTGAAATAGGCAAAACCAGGCACACATAGTCTACTGTATACTGTAATCATTATT